GGGCATGAGATGTATTCCCATTGTAGGAATACCAATCACTTAACAGCTCACATATGACGGTTTGGTCATAATATGTCAAACCATCGTCCAGTAAGGAGTGGATGTAGTGATTTGCGTTCTTTCCTATGCATTTTTCAAGGAAACGACATAAGTTTTGGGCTTTAGATGCAGCAGCGAGTGCAGTACGTTTCTATGCCTGTTTATGTTTGTTGTGTTGATTTCGCACTCCTTCGCTCTGCATTCTGCGGCAAGATGACGGAAATAAGTTGATGTGTCTCAGTTTGTTTTCATAAGATAGGTCAGAGAGACCTCTTACCAAGTTAGTCCCTCGTTCAAGCATATCCGCCTCATACTTGAAACAAGTACTCGCTAGTGAATCTCATATTCCAAATGCAGTCTCACGAATGTCGGATATAACAATCTAAACACTTCGTCCAAATACTGAAAAAACCCACGAATAGCCTGTGATACCCTAAAGCCGTTTGCAGCAGCAGCCTTACAGTTACTCATAGTTATGAGGTCGCTGCTTACTATAGCTCGTAAATCTTTATAGTTTATTACTTTGGGTAATACGAATCTGCGTATTGTGTAGTGATACGAATCATAGTTATTTAATTACATCACCACACGCTTGCTAGAAATCAGTCCTAGTGACCATCCGTCCATCTATATTGTCAATGAATTGAGATCGTCCTGTGATACTATTCTACCTGACATACTTTGCATGAGTCCTCAAACTTTTATAATGGATTCTAGGACTTTCGGGTTTTAATTTAATACCTGAATGGGATACCTTATCAAAGGTCTTACTTAGATTTATGAAACTCACATCTACATGAATATTTTGATGTTTTGTCACAGCCCAACCTTCTTCTGCAATGAACAGATTCGTCAAACATGATAGGCCTTTCCGAAAACCATTTTGTTCCCTGGATAAAAGATTATGCCCTTCCACATAGTTTATAATGGATATCTGAATAATCTTTTCTATTCGTTTTAAAACTTCATTGGTTAGACTAACGGGTCGATAGTTACTAACTAAATCTCTACTCCCCACCTTTTACACCGGACTAGTTATCGCGTCTTTCCTGTCTCTCGGGAGTCTGAACTGCCACAGAAACATATCAAACAGTATGGCTATAGGTTCAGCAATTACACCCAATAGGGCTTCTATAATCCTAGGATGAATATCATCAGGACTACTGGACTTAGCAGGTCTGAGATGCTGAAGTAATTCTAAGACAGCATCTTTCTCAATAACTACAGGATCCATCAACAATCCGTCACAATCACAATGAATCGTTGGCCGTTCCTCATTACCGATAGAAAACACTTTACTGAAATATTCCGATAAAGCTTCAGCTTTCTCGGCATCATCTTTTGTCAGTATTAACGGATTTTCTTGTAATAACGTGATGGAATTCCATCACCTCTGAGTTCGCCTCCTTATATACGAGAGTAACTTTCTTGGACTATTGTGATAGTCAATAACCAATTGTTTTTCATATGACTATCTAGTCTTACTCATTAACATTTAACAAGCATTCCTAGTCTTACAATAACTGGATCTATACTGTTCTAAGCCAGTAGAGATGAACATATTCCAGTGCTTTTTCCTAAATCTAGGACGTTTCTCGGGTTGTTTAGTTATCCATGATGGACAGCTATTCGGTCTATGTGTTAACAGGCATGGTATAAACGAGGACGGAACTGAACTAAACTTGCCTTTAAGTACAGACTATGCTTCTCCAACTGGTATTTAATGACCAATCTGTCTTAGCAGCGCACTCATGGATGGCTAATATGTTAGCTTCCCATACATTTGAGCGAGGCTTAACTTAATCGTATATTATATCACTAGCTCTAAACGTGAATGATAAAACAGCGTGATCGCTATTCGCTAACGGTGGAAGAATATTTAGGTTGGCAATATCCTCAGTCTCATGAGTGATTACCAAGTCTAATAGAGAAGAACCTTGGTTTGCATCAAAACGTGTGGGTTTGGATACATGCCGTATTAATGAATGCTTCATTACTGTTACCAGGAACCTATCATCAAAGGAGATTATAGAGCCTTCTGTAGTCATCTCCGTTCAACTAATATCAGGTACATTAAAGTCACCTAATATCAAGCATCTGTTGTTTGCAATCCATAGCTGAATGCTCTCTAGAATAAAGTCGTCAGCTAAGCAGATTGGGCTGTGATAGATGACACTGAGTATAAATGTACAACATCAGATAGTGAGCTCACAACTAATACCTTCACAAGTTCCACTATCATGTGGTTTGCAAACAAAGGGGCGTATATTCATGTTATTGACTATATATAAAGAAATATCATCTTTCCTACATCTATGCCTGTCATTTCTAGGGTGGTGGTATCCAGATAATTTCGGAGTAATATCGAAGTCATGGATTAACCGAGCTTCTGTCGCAGCTACAATGTGTGGCCTTAATTTGTCTACTAATGCTTCTAGTTCATAGAATTTATGTCTTAGACTACTAGTGTCGACACATGGAACTCCTAAGGAGAACGGCATTGGTAGCATTCACTTCCAGTACCTGACTATTCGAAAACCCACTAGTTGAAAATTTTCTTCACCATTTTGTCGACGGCTTTCTAGTTCGGCTAGTGCCAACTTACTTTTTATTCTGTCTTCAAGAAACACATCAGGTCTTGCTATTGTCGTGGCTACGAGCACTGCTAAGAAGATCATGTTGTTTCTCCGACCATAGGATTACCTTAAGGAGTCTATATAGTCGAGGTTTAACAATGTAGCCAATCATCTAACCGATTCTTATTAATTTTTTGGCCTGAACGCTTTTAGAGTTATCTGGTAAGATGCTATGGATATATTCTCCGAGTTTCTTCAAATCATGCGTGTGTTTAATTTTCGGGTCAGGATCGTTTGACCCTAGCGAATTACTCACAATAATATTCGATGAGATTAAATTCTTCTCAGCCACGCCAGAGTGGAGTTCTGTCTCACCATTTGACTTTGCTAGTGTATTTTGTCAATCAGAATAGGAGTTCACCAATGACTTGCCAACTAAGTGAGTACTGATTATAGTTATTTTCCGTCCACTTCTTTTTCTCCGTACCGTCGTCCATTTTTTATCACTCGGGACAGACACACCGGGACTATTAGGAACGGTGATTTTGCTTTCCGTCAATCACAGTTGGATGTTTAACAGCACGCACTGCACTGAAATATACTTCACTGTCAGTACTCGCGTTATCAGCGCAACCATGAGGCCAAAACCAAGAGGCTCATAGCCTCCTGGATCAGTAATGTTTTATTCGTATAGCAAAATATACAAAGCCAGCGTGAGTTAGGCTTCGAGCATCTTCTGTATGCGGCTAGGCTTAAACAAGCACACATCTAATGGAACCACGTTTTACACTAATTGCACTGCATTCCTTCCTCTACATGAAATAAAAATTTTATTTGTCCACAATTATAAGTACTGTCAACCACTGTAATCAGATTAAGGCTTAAAACACAACATGACAACAAGTATCAGAGTCAGTGAGAAATAAGGCACCACAATACAAATGTTATCAAAATTTCAAACCTTAACCGATGTAGGTTTCATTAACAAAGTTTGATTTGGAAAGTTCGAATAAATTGAGCATTGGATGGATTGTTATAAATAAATAATATATTTGTAATATCCCAATGAGTAGAAAAACTAGATTTTCTGACGTTTCGTGACTTAGTGTAAGACACTTCTTCAGAGAATGAATAACCAAATCAAAATTAATCCAAGTTTTCTTGGATTAATTTAAAAGATAAGTACGAAGTGTAGGTGGAAGATTATATCATCCATTCATATAATGCTAAACAACCATACAAGCGTATGGAAATGGCATTCACCGAGATGTTCATTTAACTTATTGTCTCAGATTGCACACTTCAGTAGACAGGGATAGTACAAACGATCAGGAAAAGGTAAGCAAAGATGTATCAAAAATGTACATGAAAGAAAATTCACGACCAACTACATATAATTGCATACAAATAAGATTACGATGACGTATGTAAGGGTCAGATAAGTTTTCCGTTTTCTACACGGGTTCGTATCTAGTCATGTCAACTAATGAAGCAAGTATGAATGTGAATGAACTTTTTAGTGCTCCAGGTTATGCTCCAAGTTATAGATCACTGACGTAAATGATCTATGTCGAGTTAGATGGGAATAGTGTGACCAACAGCTAACTTTAAAGTCACACCTCGTGGTAAGCACATAATGTGGATTACCCTTTTTCGTATCAAGGTACTATGGCTGCTCCGGAAAACGTATAACACAAAGGGTGTTATCGCAGAAATGTGTGAGTAAAAGCAGGTACAAGGGAAAGGTTGCGACCACCACCAGATGGGCCAGTTCATGGTGTGCAGTTAACTGATGCGAGCTGGTTGCCTCTGGATTTGACGAAGAACAGTGGAATATTCGACATTTAGTGACCCGACCACTGGATGGTTTGACATTTTACTGGCCCTGAAACGTCTTAGTACGGAGACCAATTGTATTCCAATAAGTCCTGGTTTCCAAAAAGTGATTTGGAGTTTGTCTGTAGTTTACGTCTGTGACAAACCAGCAAATTATCGATCCACTTTCTTCACCTTCCAGTTTTAATAGGAGACCTGATCAGTCAAGCTCTGCTTTGTTGGAATTCGATTCGTAGTTTATGATAATCCTTTCCTAAAGCCTCGCTTTGCACCACTTAACAAGTAACTAGTCGTCTTGACTGTTTCTGTCAATATTTTGACTACAACATTCACGATACTGTCTGGCATTTGGTTCGGCAGATGCTATCTTGATCTAGTTTGGTGAAAGGGAGTGATTGTGGATTCCTTCCAGTTTATTGGTAACTTGTCTCCCGGTTGATCCAGTAATGGAAGTATTATTTATTTATATTCGAGATTATTTTGAAACAAACCCCAACAAAAGCAGTATTGATAATGAACTTTCGAAAAAAGATTTCCCACTTGCAAAGAGGCATATTTGATAATTTAGACATACATTTTAAATGATTTTCTTCTGTAGCTTAACAAGCGGGAGATTCGAAGGTAGAGTTATTGAGCTTCTAGGCCAGTAAATGCGCGAGTTTAATATCAAATGCAACGGAGGCTGAATGACATAAATGGTGTTTTGCGTGGGATCGGGGTGGTAGTAAATGCCACATTGAAGGAGCAAACTCTCAAAGCTTCATGGGCGTGGTCAAAATCTGACTACCGCGACATTCTGACTACTGTATCAAAGTCTCTTTGCAGTAAAATAAGTGATCAGAATCTATCTCAAACTGCCAGTTATATAGCTGGAAGAATATGGCTTCTTAATCAACAGAATTTTATTATTGCTAAGTCACTCATTTTGCCAAAACTCGCAGAGAGCTTTGGGTTCGTACCTGCAAGTAACGTTGGTGATAAAGAGGGCACCTCTAACTCGGGTACTGACATCAAAACCGCTAATGATGCAAAAACGTCACAGCTTAAAAGTCAGAAAAATACGGCTGAATCGAATAAAAGAAAACCACTTCTTCTTCAGGACTACCCGATTCCTTCTCCGCCAACCCTTGATCAAGTAAGTATAATATAAATGTTCACTTCCAGAAAGCGTTCTCCAAAGAAAGACGCGTGCCTTCATCACGTATAGGACGAGTAGCTGGTTTTGGAAGTAAGAACAGGTTTCAGTTTCACTTCCAGATTTGGCATTGAGTCTTGGTGTTGGAGCAGCTACTGAGTGGGCTAAACAGAAAGTTGGATATCCTGGTAAACTTACTTTTTCAAGTATTAATCAACTTATTTTGTAGTTTCTGGTGATTCAGCTCCGCCGCCAAATGTGTTTTTGGCTGAGGCTAATCTTGAAAAGATCGTAGACACGTTGTGTCGTATGCGCGGAGCTGCTCTTAAGCTTGGACAAATGTTAAGTATCCAAGGTCAGTTGATTCTCTTCGGGGGCTAAGAAATCGCTTTGTTGTCGATTTTGCCGGTTCCATAGAGTCCAAATTTTCCCCTGCTCTCAGTCCGTCAGAATTTATAGCAAACTATATCTTGGTTGAGTAATAAGTTTAGACCCCTTCCATATTAGCGCTGCACTAGCGGTCAGGTTGTTTCGGATCCTCACAAAATATGTAGCTCATGGACTAGTGTGTTATTAAGCATTTGTTTAGTTATTTGCATGGTTTCGAGTTATGTGTCACTGTTTTCGCGTCAATTTTCTTTTACGTCAGGTGTTTTTTGTTAAGCGTCAAATATGGTCTTAAGTAGATTCTTTTTCTATTTTTTCCTGTCTTTGACTAGATGAAAGCTTTGTTAGCCCCCAGGTCCAAAAGATATTTGAACGTGTAAGACAGGCAGCAGATTTCATGCCAGCTAAACAAATGAGAAAAGTCCTAACATCAGAACTAGGTGAAAATTGGACTGAACATGTCAGTGACTTTGAAGAGAAGCCGTTTGCTGCAGCAAGTATCGGTCAGGTTCACAGGGCAACACTTAAAGATGGAAGGTTAGTTTTATATTAACCCTATAATTGTCACAACAATTGTGTTACTGTTGGATTACTGAAAAGCAATCAGCCGACAGAAACTGACGTTAGTGACAGGTACTTTTGAGTTTACTGATATGAGTATCTTTAGCACAGCAACATCTTCATACCCCTTGAAATAAGTCATAAGAAACTTTGTTACATACACCCCGTCAATAATTGTTAGACTTCTAGGCATACACTTTTCCTCGTGGTATATATCTAACTGTTTTGAATTGTTATCTTTTGAATTCTTTATTAATACCTGCCTTACTGTCAAACTGAGTATTGTATATTAAGAGTAGTTCTTGACATTTAATGAAACCCAGTTATGTATATATATATTTATATAGACACAAGATTGGTACAAGGAGGCACCAAACAGATATGCGCCACATAAATCATTCGATTTGTGTGTGGGCTATGATATTGCCCGGGTGCCCAAACCGAAACAGTTGAAACCAAGTTCGAATAAATCACCTAGTCTCAGTGTTAACAAACAGTGTACGGTGTTTATTTATTTATATTTGAACACATTGGCACGATAGAACACCAAATACATATGCCCCACACCTGACCGTAGCTGCTTCCTTGACGCGGTAGTCGGGCTTGCCTATCGTGATGACCCAACCGAGCTGTATTGGCTGGAACATATGTTCCTGTAGGTTCTACCATGCCAGGCAGGTCGATTGAAGAACAGTAAGACTAAAAGCAGCAACTCAAGGTTTGTGGGAGAAAAGGTCGACCCTAAAAATGTCACACCTCATGTTACCTCACGGATTTCCGTGAGGAATAGCAAAATATATACTCCGCTCAAGTAGGAAATGAGATTGTGGAAATATAGAGAAAAGGAGGTGAGTACGGTAAAAAAATGAACAAAAACGAATAAAGATAGGTGGATGAGTTTTAAAAAATGTAACGGGAGAAGCAGTTCAGTTAAAAATGTGATCAGAAGGGATTCTTCCAGTTAACAAAGCTCCTCTCACTTGTATGAAGAAAGTAAAAGAAAATTACACTAGGACCGCCACTGCTTCCTATTCAGAACCATGTCTGATACTATTTCAAGCCAATGTTACACTATTTCTAGGGAGTATCAACTTTTTTACTTATCCTAGAATTCTCATCACCCCCGGTGTATTGGTTCTTGACGAAATCTTGACATAGATTCGAAAAGTTTGGCTAACCTTTTCCTACTTGAATCACTTGTTGTAGTGTAGGCGAGATGTCCATATGCCGATCAAAGGGTGGATATACTTCTCAACAGTTTGCTGCATTACTCCATAGCTAGGAAACATGGTTTATGAAAGTTAAAGTGCGTAGACTGCAGGTCTTTTTAAAACACAACTCGAGTATCTTGGAACGACCAAGGGAGCAATCCTGTGCTTAGGCATATAGCATTAAGCAAATAAGGCAAGTTAATTAGTGAGATTTCGAAAAAAGTATCTGGTGTGCATAACTACTGCCTACCCTGATGCGCGTTGTTGACTGGTTTCGGAGTAAACTAATTAAAAGCTAGGAGTTACCAAACCAAACTTAGCATCAGCCATTTTTGGTTGATATGGATTATCTGGTTGAAGTTTATGCTCAGTGATTAGTGACGTGTGACATGGATCAAAACCACTCACAGTAGCATAGGTGTATTGGTGCACTTTTAATTTTCCTCCCAGTCTTGAATTATGTTTTTCCTCTATGCATACTTTTCAACTGTCTTTCCGAACTATATTTAAAGTGTTCAATTTTTCCAATTAATGTCTCTAAAACATTGTTTTATTTTGCAATATGTCTTATATTCATCCCATCGTGCTGATTTGGTATGGAAACTTGGGTTATTGTATTTTTGTTCCAGGTTCCATGTTGATAATGACTGACTACTAGATGTGAACAGTCCTTTGGAGATAATTATAATTTAACTTAGAAAGTTATAGAACATCCTCAGCTTGATGTAGCTAAACATTGCAAGCGTGTAATAGAATTGATTTCACAGTCGTGTTGTGTACTTAACATTTTACAGTTAGACCAACATCACAACGGTAGCAAAGGTGGTACTAAAAGAAAGGTTGACTAGTATGTAAAAAAACTGAAGCTGTGATGATTACTGTCTCATGCTTTAATTTATTCCCACAGGTTTTCTACTCAGACGTACGCGACTAATTTAGGAGAAAGGCTTTTCGATTCGTCCAGATAAATACTTTGCTACCACCAATGTAGTTTCGTGTCAAAGATCCACTATTAATATAGCAAAAATCTAATACTTGTAAAATGGTTTGTAAGATTCCTTTAATAAATGTCACATTCTATCTTCGTACTATTTTGCAGAATTCTAATGTGTAAATTCTCGAAATTTCAAGTACGGTAGTTGTTTTGATTAATTGAGTAGTAGTATCATCTCTAATGTATATCGAAAATTTATTAGCTAACTGTCAGTGTGTTGTTGATTGATTTTCTTCATAGCACTAAAATATGTTTATTTCGACATGTTCAAAGTCATTTTGCGTACGTTTTATTTCCATTTCACCTGCGAATAAGAATTCCTAACCCTTATGCTATTGTCTCTTTTTTTCAAAAGAATTGTAGCAATCAAAATACAATATCCAGGTATAGCTGATAGCATCGATGCAGATATCAATAATTTGACATCACTTTTAAATCGTTTTAATATCTTCCCACGTGGTTTATTCGCTGACAAAGCAATTGAAGTAGCTAGAAAAGAATTAAGAGCGGAGTGTGATTATCTGCTTGAAGCGGTTTATGGTAAACGTTTCGCTCAGTTATTAGAGGGTGATCCTGTTTTTCAAGTTCCACAAGTAATTGATGAACTAACAACTAGTCGTGTATTAACCACAGAATATATGAATGGATTAGTGTTAGATGATTGTATTAGTCTTCCGCAAGATGTGAGAAATTGGGTAAGTATGTTGTCTCATAAATCCTTATTTTCCACTGTGTATAGTAATTGTTATTAGGGTATACGCAAATGTGTTACAGGGACGATGATATTATTTTAGCGCTTGATGTTTACGTTTAATATGCATATTGTACTGAACAGTGGATCAGAGATCAGGGTTCTGATTTAACCGTTAAATTGCAGGTTCGAACCCAGGTCCACCTATAGTCGGGCAGTATTGTGGTGTATGCTACTTATGTTGATACATATAAGTAGTATGCAGCACAAGTCGGAATCGGAATGTCTATGAGCAGAAAATTGAAATGAAGGGAGAAGAAAACTGAAAGCAATCAAGATAACAACATGAATGAAGGAACTATGAACTTTGTAAGAAACAATTCAGAGAAGATATGCAAATGACGCACTTAATGTATGATTTTCACATTTTACTAAACCACTTTGTGGTTTCGCATGAAACAATAAATTGGTTATCCCCACCAAGTCTTCGTTCACTACGATTGGTGCCTCTGCCGCTACTCAGGATGAAGATTCCATGACCGAGGGAGTTTGGAGATGTTGCAGAGCCTATGGGTGTGAGGGAGCCCAAGGCGAATACGGTGGTGCTGGGGACACTTCTGAGAGGCAGGGCGAAGGCTGTATATGACAACCTGGAGAGTGCTGGCGGAAATAGAACATGAGAGGTGATCACAGAGCGGTTGACCGCGGAGTTCAATAGCCCGGTGGACAAGGGGGAGGCGCCTCAAAAGTTTCGGCTGGCAAAGTTGTCGGTCGATGATGACCCGCTGGTGTTGGCAGTGTAGCTAACCAGGTTGTTGCGTCGTGCACTGCCGAATTTGGATGAGGAGCCAGAAGCACAGTTGATGGCATTGCAGTTCATAGAGAGCGTGACTGTCGCCATTTCTCAACAGTTGAAATTAGTAAGCGCCACACAACCCATGGATATCAGTGAATTAGTAAAAGTAACCAGACAGTTGATGACCCTAATGGTAGCCCCTGAATGCCCTGGTACGGCCGAGAGTGGGAAGAGTCCTCTCTCCCTCTCCAAATGCTCTCACATGGACATGCGTATATAGCCTCTGCCAGGGAAGTCCTACTCACTGCCTTCTCGTGGCGGGGGTGTTTTTTACGAAATTGAGAGGACGAAAAACGAATGTCCGGCGCCTTAACCGGGTCGGTCGACACGGAGAGTCCACTTAGGGGAGTTGGAAAACCCTGAATCCAAAACAATGGTGCACATGGGCTTCAGTATCCTAAAGGAACAAATGCCGTATGAACCAATCGTTGGTCACCGGCTACTATGGGACTGCATCTCCTTACGATGCTCCACTGCTTTGTGGATCAAACCTTTAGGCCGAAGGCTCTGGGTGTGGCCCCCTAAGAAAACCACCTGCTTCGTTTTGGGCAGCCCTCACACATATCAAATGAGATTTGTGTGGCGCATATGTATTTGCTGCTTCCTTGTACCAATATCTATGTGTTAAAATAAATAATAAATAAAATAAAGCTCCAGTGGGATGCGGAAGTCAGGAGGTAAGCAGGATCGAGAAGATAGAAGAGCTACAGCGTAAGATAGCCACAATACGAGTGAACAATAAATGTTACACTTGTGGAAGAACAGGTCATTGGAAGAGGAACTTCCTAACAAGACCAAAACACATAGATTCTAGACGATATAGTTCGTGTTCTTTCTAATTAATGAAACTGGGGGTTGTTGCATTAGTAGATAGAGGAGCAGTTTATGCAAGAGGAGCAGCAGTATCATTAATAGATAAAGAGCGATGTAAGAAACTTATTTATTTATTATTATAAGCTTTATTCAATATTATATTTTCGGTACAATATAGAATTCTCAGCACAAAGTATTTCAACAAGTTTCCGTTTCTTTCTTCTGGGTCGATCCTGACGATAAATATTGAGTGATAGCCAGTTAGATGTTAGCAGTCCAGTAAATAAACATCTGAATAATGTATATTCTTTTCTCTGCGTATTGCCAGCGACCACATTATCTCTTATTGAGCTTTTAGTAACTTTGACAACGAAAGGTTGTAAACTTTTCAGAAATGCACAAGGATGGGTTATGCGATTAATATACATAATGATATATTAAAACAAACAAAAATAGATAACTTGTTGAAATATTTAGATGACAGGAACAGGTAGCCCAGATGCTCAAGCAGGCCGCCCATATACATTAGCTGTCCATATCATAGGAGGTCACATGTTAAGGGTTTTGGGAGTGTCTAACAGTATCGTGAAAGTTGGGGGTGGTGAGTTAAATTTCCCATTCGTGGTAACCACAAGTCTACCGAGACCGATATCAAGAGCAGATTTCCTAAGTGAAATAAGAGCGATAATTAGCTTAAGAAGCAGGAAGGTGGTCACGAAGTAAGGTTCATTACTTACTTACTACTTACGCCTGTTACTCCTCGTGAAGGAGCATAGGCCGCTCACCAGCGTTCTCCATCCAACCCTGTCCTGGGCAATCCTTTCTAGCTCCGTCCAGTTGTAATTCATCCTTTTCATATCTGCTTCTATTATCCGACGCAATGTGTTCTTTGGCCTTCCTCTTTTTCGCTTCCCCTCAGGATTCCAAGTTAGGGCTTGCCTCGTGATGCAGTTTGACGATTTGCGTAATGTATGTCCTATCCATTTCCATCGTCTTTTCCTAATTTCTTCTTCAGCTGGAAGTTGGTTTGTTCTCTCCCACAGAAGGCTGTTGCTGATGGTATCCGGCCAATAGATGTTGAGTATCTTGCGTAGACAGCTATTTATAAATACTTGTACTTTCTTGATTGTGGTTGTTGTAGTTCTCCAAGTTTCAGCTCCATACAGTAGAACTGGCTTGACGTTCGTATTGAAGATTCTCACTTTGATATTGGTTGAAAGTTGTTTTGAGTTCCATATGTTCTTCAATTGTAGGAATGCGACCCTTGCTTTGCCGATCCTCGCCTTTACGTCTGCATCTGAGCCTCCTTGTTCATCGATGATGCTTCCCAGATATGTGAAGGATTCTACATCTTCCAGAGTTTCGCCATCAAGAGTGATTGGATTGCTGTTCTCCGCTTTGAATTTGAGGACCTTAGTTTTTCCTTTGTGTATGCTGAGGCCTACTGATGCAGAGACTGCTGCTACACTGGCTGTCTTCATCTGCATCTGTTCGTGTGTACGTGATAGGAGGGCTAGGTCATCTGCGAAGTCCAAATCGTCTAATTGATTCTGAGCTGTCCATTGTATTCCGTGTTTTCCTTCAGATGTCGAGGTCTTCATAATCCAGTCGACCACCAGAAGAAAGAGGAAGGGAGAGAGTAAACAGCCTTGTCTGACTCCGGTCCTTACTTGGAATGCATCTGTCAGCTGTCCTCCATGCACTACTTTGCACTGTAGTCCGTCGTATGAGTTCCGGATTATATTGACAATCTTCTCAGGAACTCCGTAGTGTCGAAGAAGTTTCCATAACGTCCTCCTGTCTACACTGTCGAATGCCTTTTCATAATCAATGAAGTTGATGTATAGTGATGAGTTCCACTCAACTGATTGTTCGACGATGATCCGTAGTGTTGCAATTTGGTCTGTGCACGACCGATCCTTACGGAATCCAGCTTGTTGATCTCGAAGTTGGGCGTCTACTGCATCCTTCATCCGGTTCAGCAACACTCTGTTGAAGACTTTCCCTGGTATTGACAGTAGTGTTATGCCTCTGTAGTTTTCACATTTGCTCAGATCTCCTTTCTTTGGAATCTTGACGAGGTGTCCTTCTTTCCAGTCCATCGGCACTTGTTCCTCCTCCCAAATCTTTTTGAATAGAAGATAAAGCATGCTTGTGGTTGCTTCGATGTCTGATTTCAGTGCTTCAGCTGGTATGTTGTCGGGTCCTGCTGCTTTCCCGTTCTTGATTTGTCTGACGGCCATTCTAATTTCTTCCGTAGTTGGTGGATTGACATCTATAGGAAGATCTATGTGTGCTGCTTCGATGTCCACTGGATTCATTGGAGCCGGCCTATTCAGGAGTTCCTCGAAGTATTCTACCCATCTGTTACGCTGTTGTTGAATTTCGGTGATTGGCTTGCCTTCTTTGTCTTTGACCGGCCTCTCTGGTTTACTGTATTTCCCTGATAGTTTCCTCGTTGTATCGTAAAGCTGTTTCATGTTTCCTTCTCTAGCAGCTTTTTCTGCCGTCGTTGCTAGTTCTTCCACGTATTTCTTCTTGTCGGCTCTAATGCTCCTCTTCACTTGTTTGTTTGCTTCTATGTATTCAGCTTGTGCTTGGACTTTCTCTGCTCGTGTTCGGCTGTTGTTTATTGCTGCCTTCTTGTTCTTCCTTTCTTTGATCTTGTCCACTGTTTCTGTAGAGATCCATTCCTTATGATGGTATTTCTTTAGACCGAGAACCTCTTGACACGTTGAAGTTAATGCTTCCTTGATGCCTTTCCAGTTGTCCTCCATAGTAGTTTCTTCTTCTTTCAGTAGATCTTGTAAGGCTTGGAACCTGTTGTTGAGAGCTATCTTGAATTCATTGAGTTTGACAGTATCTCGAAGGAAGGCTGTATTGAACCTTTGTATTGCTGTTTGTCCACTTGTCCAGTGCTTCTTTAGCTTCAGTTTCAAATTGGCTACAACTAGGTGGTGATCTGAAGCTACGTCAGCACCTCTCCTGGTTCTCACATCTTCCATTGTCCTTCGGAATTTTTTGTTGATGCAAATATGATCTATTTGGTTCTCTGTAGTGTGGTCCGGTGAGATCCATGTAGCCTTGTGTATACGCTTGTGTGGAAATATTGTGCCTCCTATGACCAATTTGTTGAATGCGCATAGATTTGCAAATCTTTCTCCATTTTCGTTTCTTTCTCCCAGTCCATGTCGTCCCATAATATCTTCATATCCAGTGTTGTCTATTCCGACTTTGGCATTTAGATCTCCCATCAGAATGGTGAGGTCCTTTCTTGGGCATTTCTCATCACTGACTGCAGCCGCTCGTAGAACTGATCTTTAATTTCGTCGTTGCTATCATTGGTGGGTGCATAACATTGGATAATATTCATTAAGATCCCCTCCTTCTTT